TTCACGTTCGCCCAAAATATGAACGAGTTCATGAACTTTCGTTCAATGAACGCGTTCAGGCACAACACTACCTGTGGGGACCAACAACCTAAGGATTAGGTATGTGTTGGTAATGATTAGGCTTAAGATCAGCACTATTAAATAGAAGTCAATGGAAAGTACCAACAAGGACAGTCTGTCAGTACAGATATGATTTTCATGGCTTCTGAAGAAAACATATTACTTTAGGTTGATTTTTTTTTTCCTTTCAATCTAATTTTACTGATCAAAGGTAAAAATATGATCTACATCGTAATTCATAAAAGAGTCGTTTGCTTGGTGTCCCTTACCACAGTTTTCCTCATCGCTGCCGTCAGAGCAGTCGGGGGAGTGGTCACACCTCCATGCATGCCGGATGCATTCTCCGTCTCCACACTGAAACTCTGAGGCTGCACAAGTCGATGACCTCTGAGGAGAGCCTTGGACTGAACCGCACAGGACCTGGGATTCATCTCGTCCATCTTTACAGTCCCTCAGGCCGTCACAGAGTTTGTCTCTAAGCAGGCAGACGTCTGTCGGCCCACAGGAGAAAGACCCTCCACTGCAGTTGTGACAGGAATCCTCATCGCTCCCATCACCACAATCGTCAATTCCATTGCATAAGAGCTTTGTTGGTATGCAGCCTCTGCTGTGGCAGGCAAACTCATCTTTTCCACACCTGCTGTGGCCTGTGAAGGTATAAAATGGGGACACAAGGATCTAGTTTTAAAACTCTAGATAGAATCTACAGCATTTCATTAGAAAACTTGGTGAATATTTTAGGACAGAAAAATCAGTGACACAAATAAATCACAGTGTAAATGTTTCCAAGCACCTTTCTGAAAGGTTAAACTTTTCTTTTTTTAGTTTTGCTGCTCCTACGTTCTTTTTTTTTGTGTGTGTGTTTAGGTTTTGTTTTTAGAAAAAAACAGAAAAAAACAGACCAAAAATAAGGCTGATGAATCCAAGGGTGTAATACCCCACTCATGATGCTACCACTACCATGCTTGACAGCTGGTACAGTGGTCCTACATTCATGAGCTAGCTGTTAAATCTTCCATCCATTCCTTTGGCTTTGTGGCTAAACAGAGCCTCCATTGTCTTGCAGGTATAACATTCCTGATCTCTCAGTTACACCAGCATCTCTATGGGTTCGTTGCTACGTATCACGCTGCAACCTGCTGACTCTAAACAGATCAGTGGTATTGTTTAACAGCTGAAGGCTGTAAAAATGTCTCCCTCCTGTAGAGCTCTGCTCTGCAGGGCTGAAGTTTGAACTGAACATAAGTTCCTTCTGACATCAGTACTGTAGACCCCGATGACCTCAGCACGATTAGGAAAATGATAATCCCAAACACTATCACTTCCATGACCTTTGCTGCTCATAGAAAGCAACACTTAGCCTGACATGTACCTTGAAGGTTAGATTATCTCGAAGTTCAAATTTTAAGTATTTCATGCAAAGGTTTCCTGAGAGATTTAGCAGAAACGTTGGAATGTAATATTTTTTGGGAGTCCTTTAAAAGAACAAAAGCAAGACTGAGCTCTAAATAACCATAATCAGATTACTATGGTAAAGCTTTAATGTTGGCCTCTGAGACTTTGAGGCCCTTGTTAAAATGTCACTAACGATCTGGAAGAGGGTGGGAATATTCTGGGAATTCATCTTTTATCTAATCTGTACCTGACAGCACTTGTTTGAACTGAGAGCAGATTAGTCGTACTTTATAAATTGGAGGCACAGCACGAATCCCACGACCCTCTGGAGCTACATTTTCTTTTTTGCTTCAAAATTAATTGCATTAAATCCCTATTTTGACCCTAAATTTAGACTTTAAAAAAGACAAATATCAGTTTACCAGGGAGCTAATTGTTATCTGCTTTATTAGGAAACTTTTTCAGAAAAAACGTTACTAAAACTGGGCAAAAACAATTAACTATTCCATGTCATTTGGTTTTCTTCATTTGGTTATGTTTGTAAGAATACATAGTGATTGAATGATTTATTTAAACCATGTTTTAAAATATTTTACATGCCACCTGGACTTTTGGTGAAAGAAATCAGATTTTTTTTTTTCTTGTTTAACAAAAATGCGTCAAAACCAACAGAGATTCTTTTGCATTTTCCTAATATAAAATGTTGATTTAAAGATTTTATGTTTTTTTAAAATCAATTTTGTAGTTTGGCCTCAACTATGCGACTATGACATACTGCCCAGCAGAACAAACGTCAGCAGTGACCTTAAATCAGCAGTTGTTCTCTAGTTGAAAATACTATAGTTTTACAAAGATTTATCTGAGTGAACTGAAGGTTCTTCTCCATCAATATCCTCTTGACAAATAAGACCAAAACAGAGATGATTGGTCACAATAGATAGCACCATGTTTGCCAACCCCCCTCAAAATTAAAGATATTATTCATAATGCATTTTTTACACTGTGAAGACAAAGAATAATAATAAAAATAATAAATAAAAATCAAACAAACATTGATTTCACATGTTAAATGCACTCAAAGTAAAAAAAAAAAATGTGTAAAATTCAATGCTGAGAGCATTTTAACAAATACAAATTATTTTTTGTACAGTTTAGGCTTAATTACTTCTCTGAGTATTTTATTTTTCATGAAAACTACATTTTAGAATCTGTATACTCCAGCTGATAATCCTTTAATGACTAAAATTGTTGATTTTTTTTCCAAGTATCAATTAATCACAATAAATAATAAATCTGATTTGGCTCCAGTTTGTTCAATAATTAATGTGCAGTCTGTTAGTGCTTCTACATATTAATGTCAGACAAAAATACCATAAAAACCTGGTAAAAGTTTGATCCTGTCCTGATAAATAAGACCATAGAAGTGAGGGAGGACGTCCTGCTTAAAATCCCATTAGACCATGAACTCACCACAGTGGTGTTCATCTGATCCATCAGCACAGTCAAGGTGGCCATCGCACAGCTTCATCCTCGACAAACACGATCCATCTCTGCACTTAAACTCCAGCTGCTGGTTACAGGCTGCTAGAAAGTGAGCAGCAGCACCTGGAACACAGAAACAGAACAGTTTAAAAGTCACAGAGCAAATTATTTGAGAAGATTAGGAATGACTTACACAGAAGAAATTGTTTTGTTTAAATAATCTAGTTGCAGTTTGATTCTATTGTTTTTCTATTTTCAAACAGCCAGAAAAAGCAGTTGTTATATTTATCTTCAGGAAATTGCAAAAAAAAAAAGTCAAAAAATCTATTCCTTTTAAAAACTAAAGCTTTCCTGATAATGATACATTAAGCAAACTTTTTGAGGTGTCCTGGTATGGAGAGCCATTTCATTCAAAATTAAGTAAATACTGCGATCGATAAATTGTCAATAAATACTCTATTAAATAAATAAACATCCTGATGAAAACTGAAAATGTGAAAATAAATATTTTATTATATTTTCTACATTTATTATGTTAAAAAAAAGCTAATTAAAATATAAGAACATGAAATAAAAAGGAGCTTAAATTGAAAAACGAGTTTAAAAATTAAAGTGTCACAAAAT